ACTGCAGAGTACAGAAATTTGGTTTACGTCATTGAGGTTCAGTAGACGATGATAGCCGGTGTCTCGGCCGATATTCGAACCCAGTATCTCCGAATAAATATCTAGAGCAGTACCTCTAGACCAGTGGTTCCCAGCGCTTTTAACATAACGTTCGGTTTTGGTTCTCACCAAAGCCTCATGCCGCCGCCTCGCCCCCCCCGGGCACTCACACTCGCACTCGTCTTACTGTTTGCGGGCAAATGACCTGCAACCGGTACCGTGCGGAAACCGTTCGAGAAACAATTCAGATTTTCAGCAAGAAAATTCTTCAACGTGCTCCGTATAGGCGACGGATGGTGCCAACAAACAGCGAAGTCTAATCGCTCGAATCGTTTTAATGCCTGGACTAACAGTTCTGACGGGTGCTTACAGAAGCTGTAAAAATTGCCAATTTTCGAGTGGTATCTCTCCCAGAAGCCTCTGCCGCTTTGCACTTTGGGAACTACTGCTCTAGACAAACCTGTGGTATGACGTTCCGCAACTTCCATATGCTGCCATCATCAGGTCGTAATTACTTTCGGAGAAGCTGTGCAATTTCTCTTTGCTGAAAGTTGTAATCGCGGGGAAACTTTGGACTTTTTAACGTCTAGGCGAGACAAAATATCTACCATCTGTATGGGTTATCGCTGAGATTTCGTGACGTAATGAGAGGCGTCTTGATTCGTATTCTCAACTAACTACTGCTAGGGGGACGAAATCAAGAAGAGGGTGATTGGCTGCCTATGTAGCACATGTGGAAGCTATCAGAAAAACGTTCAAACTTTTGGTCGGAATACCTGAATGGGTGGAGAAACCCCTTGGAAGATCTAGGTGTATGCAAAAATAATATTAAAATGTGCTTTAGAAGTCCGCGGGCCTTGTCTGTAATACTTATCCGAAATTTCTACCTGACGCGAATGAACAAGTACTTGACATGAACACCCAGGCTAGTGAGTACCGCTCAGGCACACGGTAACCGTCAGCTAGGTATGC